TATTATCTTGGCCCGGGAACCTCCCCGTCTGGACTACAGCAGACATTACTGTTCCGAAAAATGCCGCTATCCCTCGTAACTCTGTGCCAGGATAGCGTATCGACGGATATTTGATCTCATCTTCAACTAGTATCTGTGTTTATATTGTATACATACATACATACAGGTCTGTATATATGTAATAGGAGGCGGGTTATGACCACGTATATATGTTATCTGCCTTATGTTGATCGCAGGTAATACCGCTTTCATGCAAGGCTAAAACCTTAAATATCATACACTATATTTTCATGCACGCAGCATCAAACCAAGGACAAATAGAAATTAAATAATCAATATTAATAGTGCAAATACCCATTTAAAAGATACGCATTCAGCAATAGACGTACTGTTGGAAAAAATGTTTTCTACTTGGTCCGTGCAAAGGGGTTGTAAGGATGAAAACTGAAGCAAGAAGTGGCACACCCGTGTGGAGGTGGGGTCGAATACCTCCACTGTGACCCTTCGAGTCGTAGGTGACGAAAAGGGAAGTCTCAAATCTGAGACAGTACCAAGGGACACGGGTCCGATAAAAACTGCCCTTGCAAGAGCCAACAGCATGTACAAAGTCCTCTCGTCAGAGAAGGCCGTAATTGTCAAACAGTAATAAATATCTGGTCATGAGTCCCAGATGGGGCGCGACATCAAGACTTACAATCAGTCGCAATGTGACTTTGACTTTGAAGAAGAGGCAGTTGGAAGGGAGGACTTGGCCACGGGAGCAGAGGAATATTCACTGTTGGAGCCGTTACCAGGAGACGTCTAGTAGCAGACTGAGAGCACTAGTCTGTCTGATCTAGTGATTTGTAAAGTATGGAGATCGCCGATGGCGCTATAATTACCTGTAGTAACGAGTTATGTGTATAAGTGGTCAATAAATGCAATATCCTATCCATAACCCCCTTCTACGTCTGTTATCACCCATACACGAGACAATATAACCAACTTGTGCTGTCTAGGATGGACTTGCATATTAATTCTTAAGAGTCGTAATCTGCCTAATTCTGCTATATTTCTCAGGGTCGCAGATGACATATACCTTCTCAACCCACGGGATACAACAGATCAGAAGACAAGGCAGAGAATGGTATTGCGAAAATATATCATTTTGATGTGAAATATTTTAATTTCGAATGCCTCCGATTGTATATTCATGGGAGAATACAACTAGAAGATTTACACTTACATATAAACGGTAAACCGCGTAAATATAAAAATTACTGTGCTTATATTGTTTATAATATAAGGCGCATTTGGCGCGGAGTACAGGGAACGTAGGGAAAACTAATTCGTTCTCAAATCCGATAACAGTAAGTGCAGTATATTTTCTTAAGAACAATAACTAGTCAATCATAATTTTATCGACTTTATTTCCACTCCATGTGTGAAATTGCATTCCTCGATTTTTGGCACCAAATTTCACGGTATTATGTAACTTATATTAAGTCCATATGCGTTGTATAGGGAAGTCAATATGGTGTTGCTTTTATGACAATTTTGCGCTGAATGCGCCATGTATATCCATTAAGAGGAAGGAAGGTACAAATGGATGAGAAAGACCCATTCATGTAGTTAATGGAGATTCTGTAACTTGTTATTTCCTCATCGTATAAGAACCGTATTCCAATGAATGAGCGCTTCTGCTATTCTAAAATGTGTTTCCTTTCCTCTCTCACTATACGTGTTCAATAAATTCTCCAAAGGAACAATATCTGTTTTTTAACATCAAAAGAGCGAAGTGTGTATGACTGAACAAATATAACTAAAAGGAAAAATAATAACTCCTTTCTGAGAAGCTAATATTTGTTTTCCCAGTCAAGAAAATCCTATTATTCAGCGGAACACAAAGATTCAATTATCCTCTTACAGGAGCTTCCCACTGATGCTGGGTTAGATGAAACAAATTCACCTTCTCACGCCCAATAAAATATATATGAACATTCATTATAAAATAGACTAACTCTATGGAGCAGAGTCGTTCTTGAGAAGACGCTAGTCGCTCAGCTACTCAAGAATTTACCAAAATTTTATGGAACCCGAAGGTTCATTACTTTGTTCACAAGGCCCCTCCACTGGTCCCTGTCCTGAACCAGGTGATACAGTTCATACCATCCCATTCTCGAGGCCCCTCCACTGGTCCCTGTCCTGAGCCAGATGATACAGTTCATACCATCCCATTCTCGAGGCCCCTCCACTGGTCCCTGTCCTGAGCCAGATGATACAGCTCATACCATCCTATTCTATCTCCCTAAAATCCATTTTAATATTAACTCCTCCACGTTTGGCTGTTCCTAATGGTCTCTTTCCTTCCTGATTTCCCACCAAAATCCTATATGCAATACTCTTCTCTTTCATGTGTGTTACATTCCCTGCCAATCTCATCCTCCATGCATTGATCATTCTAATTTTCCTTGGAGAAGAGTACAAGTTATGAAAGACCCATATGCAGTTTTCTCCAATCTCCTGTCACTTCATTGCTCTTTGGTCCAAATATTCACCTCAGCACCCTCTTCTCAGACACCCTCAGTATATGTTCCTCCCTCACTGTCAGAGACCACGTTTCACACCCATACCAAATGACAGGAAAAATGGTAAACTGTATTACGACTTTAGTAATAGTAGTTCGTGAACATGTGGATCTTATGCCTTCTGAAGATGGTCAGTTGATCCAAACGTGTAAAGGCAATAAACATCTATAAATTGAATCACACTGGAAGATGTTAACAATTGTTCTATAATAGTTTTGTATATTCATATTTCTACACTGTTAGACAGCAAGTAAGAAAAAGATATGTTCTTTGAGGGGAATTTTTAATCGTGAGTTGAGAAGCATGTAAGTATGTTGGTGATGGTGTGAATTGCTGTAACAGCTTAGCAGAATTTCCCATAGTTGCTCGTGAACGAGGTCTTCCAAATAGCTATTGTACCCTTCTTGCACAATATCGTCAGTCAGAAATTATTCACGAATTCTCGAATTCATTAATCGTGTTGAGTAATTTGTTGCACATTCAAGTCTCCACTATCTTTGCATTTTACACACATTTTCGAATTTCCATTACCACTTCATAATCAGACGAAATATCAGCATTTTGTATTATGCTCTGAATGCCGTCGCTGACATGCATGCTACTTTACTAAGAGGAATATTTAATTTTGATTCCACCATGAACACGTGAATATATATTTTGTAAATGATGTGTACATGTTTTTGAGACACCACATATATTCACAATATAAATGAGGATGTTGGATAGGAGGTGTATTCGTATTGACTGTACTGCGGAGGAGAAATATCTTCAAAATTTCCTATAATGGACTTCCTCTTGCCCTCAAAATGTACATTAAAATTTATTACTGGTATGGTAAGGATCGCATTAAGTGGAGGAACTGTTTTGGAAGAGACTGTGGACCTGTCGTCTGACAGATTACTGATGAATGAATGAATGGTAAGGACAGTGAATTGTGTAATGTCCTAGGGGAGTTCGTTTCATATGAAGTTCTAAGTAATACGTTTTTCTTTTAGAAAAATTAGCGGTGTCAATATGACGGATGTAAGTCGTTACTGAATTATGTGACATTCAACCTCTTTGAAATTGTCTTCAAATTCGTTTCGACACTTCGTCAAATTGTTTTCATTATCTGTTTAGCATCAGCACTAAAATTGTTGTTACTTTCTCCCGCAGTAATGATGCCAATGACATTATTGCTAATTCTACATTCAGTCAGGATATCTCAATCGGCATAGTGACGGGCTACGGGCTCTATGGTCTGAGTTCGATTGTCAAAGGCAAGAAATTTTTCTCTACTTCACATAATCAGAGCGGTTCTGCCCCCCCCCCCCCAGCCTCCTGTCCAATTGCTACAGATGGATATTTCCCCGGGGTAAAGAGTCAGGAACATGAAGCTGACTATTCACCTCCTTCTAATGCCGAGGTCAAGAATTGTGGAGCTATACCTCCACTCCCTTATATATCTTAATAGAGTGGTGCTTAAATAATAAAACACAGGGACAACTTTACTTTTACTTTTTACTTTATACATTTTGTAACATTTATACAGGATTCCTATTACAAATTTAGGATTTCACCGGGGCGTGTTGGCGTGTTTTTGATGTTAATTCTGCTATTTGGTCTTTGCACTTTGTCGAGGTCGACCGTGTTGCTTACGTTTCAGCTGTATACGCTGCCCCCATCTTCAGGGTGCTGACGATGGAAACAGTATGTGCATCTGAAACGTCGGCAACATTGCTCATACCCAGAGGCTACAAATGAAGATCCAAGAATGGAATAACATCAACACGGATTCCTGTAAACGTTCTGCATTAGTCATATTACAGGTTTGTCACTCGAAACACAAACGTCCGCGAGCACACACACGCACTGGTTATATAATTATTTTCAATCTCATGCAAATGAAAACCTCGAGATACCTAGAGTGTTAAAACGTGTTTTTCTCGCGATATAGCCGAGAACCTATAGTGGGAGGGAGAACAATGGTTATTTAGACAGAAGGGTGAGACATGAATACACACGATAGGTCTGGATATCATTACCTAAGTACAAAGGAACAGATTTGCAACAAGAAAATGTGACGTCAATCCAGCGCCATAAACAAGTGGTGAAGTGGGCTTAGAGAAGAGCTTGTGACAAAGGTCTTCCAGGAACTTTCCACAACCCAAGCAACAGGTCTGCGGATTTTGGAAAACTTGTTTTCTACCATACAATTGCAGACAAATTACGAATACAACAGCTATTTTTCTGCAGCGAGACGTTAACAGCTATTGGAGCCCAGCCCCTTCATCCCTTAAGGATGGGCTGCCCTGATGATAGAAGTTCCAGACGTTAACGTGATAAAGTAGCTGACCGCTATAGACATATCTACAGTGTTGGTTCTATTTTGGCGTGTTCGTAACGAAAGTGTCTTATTAGTTTCCCCATGTCTGTCAGCCCACAAACAGACTGAGGAATGTTAAAAAAAATACTGTTATAAAATCGATATTGAGGAGTTCTACTAAAATTTGTTGAGATATTTTAATTTTCGTTATACTCAAATAACCATTTAATTAGAATTTTACTTGGACCTGCGTGTTTTCAATGCTCTGCAACTTATGATGGCTCTGTTGGACACTGATAATATTTGTCAAACTCGAATTTACAGATATATACATACAATGAAATGAAGTTATATAAACCTCTCCAGTAACTTTCTATTTAAACTTAGAAAAATAACATAGACTGAAGTGCTTGCTAGAATAAATATTAATATGTTTTAATATTTTAGGACGTTACAAAATTTGCTCTGAAACATTTGGAGCCTGAGTCACTGTACTTCCTGCAGGTGCAAGCCCTTGCACAATTCGGCCGTGAACGACTTAAAGGAGAGAAAGAAGCCATCTTCCTCAACACTGCAGATCATAAGAATGGTAAGCTTTATGTTTCATATTCGGATATTATTTATTAAATGTTCTTTTGCTCTTTGAAAACCTTTATAAAAGGGTAAACTATAAATGACGGAAATTTTATAATGTAAATCACAAACTTTATATTACAAATGCTGAGTTTAGAAAGACTTGAAAGGCTAGCCCGGAATATTTTAATTCATTGCGATGATTTTATCGTGTAAAAAGTAAAAAGTAAAGAGCAACATGTTACAATAATATCAGATAATATGAATAATACGTACATATCGTCAACACATCCTGTGTTGGAAGCTGATTCAGTTTTCCTTAATGATGAGATAAATGTATGAAGTTTGTTTGTATCAGACTTGATTACATACTCCTTTGCTCTGTAGTCTCTGAGGATCTCGTCCTCCTTGGTGGCAGATGCCCATTTCTTCCTGATATGTTTGCTCACAAATCTTCAGAACATATGCTATATTGTGCTTTCAAATCAGACAGTTATATTCTGGACCTGAGAGTTAACTTAATTACACAAACATGTCAACCCAAAACCAAATTGAAGTAGATTTTATTTTGAGTCGATTGATTATCATATTATCCATTAAAGTTACTGAACATATGGTTTGCAGTCAGTGAAGTTAGCACTGGATTTCATGATGGAAATGGTAAGCGAAGCGCTCGTCGAGTAGAGGGGCTGAAGGTACAGAAAGTATATTGGAATCGTGGCCAACTCCAGGCAAGGATCATATGGACACCAAGACCCATTATGAAAGAGGACACATCTCTGAGGTACACAGTTGCTTTGTGGTCTGGACAGTGCCAGAACTCTGATGTTACCACATTGCAACCACGCAGCCAGCTAGCTGCAACCACAGAGGTATGTTTTGATGCTGTAGTTATATTTGAAAGTTTTTCTTCACTTATTATGTGGATTTCTCAGTCAGGATCATCTAGTCTATGCTCTAACAAGACCTAAAGCCCATGCAGTACTGTCCAAAAAGTTTAAGTGTTTCATGTTATGTGCTTAGAAAGAAAATGGAAAAGAATAAGAAATACTACCTTATACACTAATTGTGGTCATCAATTATTATTGCAGTGATTACTACTCCAGTAGTAAAATTCAAAGGGCCGACATCACTGACACACCAAGTCCATCACTGGCCATATCCTGAGGTAGTCCCATCCATATTCCAACCTCAGAACTTATTTCCCTATGATTTATTTTACTCAGATGTTTTCATGCCAAAATTCTGAATGCATTCTTTGTGTCCTTTGCCTGTAGCTAGTCGTATGTAGTCATCTTATGAAAGCTACCCTGGTTTTCCATCCTTACTATACTAGGTAATATACAATTCGTGAAGTTATGTTTGTGTAATTTGCTAACCTGCTCACTTGCTTCAGCCTTGTTATGAACACATATTTCCCTCAGCACCTTGTTCTTAGATATTCGTACTTTAATTTTATTACATACAGTAAGGGGCTACATTTTATAACCATACAAAATAACTACTACAGGGGAACTTCGTATATCTGCTGGTACCCTTCCATAAGTGAGACTCTTGCTGATATTCTTACAGCCGGATTTCTGATCTGCTGTAATAAAATATAATGCTGAGATGCAAATTCTTCTTCCTCAGACTCTTTATTTTATAACATGCTATTGATTTTCATGCTGACTTTTCCAGTCGTCGCACTATTAGAGATTTCTGCAGCCAGGACCAGAAGGCAATTCAAATGCCTGCAGAGCCACTAAGTGAACTGTTTTCCACACCTTTCTTTGGCTGTGCACATTTTGTACTAGATTTTTAACAAGATCTTTTCGATATCTCATATGTGACATCTGTTTCACTCCCATCTGTGTTTTCTGGCTCAGTACAAAATGTATAAATTTACAATGCACATTTCCAGGCACCAGAAAATAAGTTTTCTCCACCACTTCAGGGATTTCGGAATGAAAGCATATGTGACGCAGTAATGAGCACTACGTTTTACACTACCCATGTGCTTTGTATAGACACGTACACACAGTGGCTTTTCAATTTCTTCCCTTTGCCCCCTTTCTGAATGGTCACCATTTTTTTCATTGGTGTATCATTGTATGTAGACATCATGAACACTGTCTTCTTGTCTTTCAAGCCCATCATCAGGACGTTCCTACTTTTGTACGAAGTCAGCACTTCTCATTTTCTTCATGGCCCCCTGTCTCAGTGGTTTTGGATTGCCAACTCTACTAGCAATAATAATGGCTGTTGCTTGGAATTTTCGATTGTTCAATTATTGGGCCAGCTGAACACTACTATGTGGTAGCCTCCAACACCAGACACACTGAGTCATAGTTTATACATCAAGGAGGGAGCTGCTATTAATGTGAATCGTTTTTCTGAGTATTGCCAATTACAGACGTCACCTGTAAGTTTTCCAAAATATGGAATTATGCTGTGAACGTAACCAGTGCCACTGTCAGCTATTACAAACAGTGTGTTGCCCCACTAAGTTCTGAATATTATTTTGCCCTTGAACAAGAGTGTTGATTCATCTACTGCAATGTTTTTACCTGGAAAAATATATTTCCAAAAACAGTTCTTTATATGGCCTATCGCCTCATCTACTTTCTTTGTTCTTTTGATGGTACTGAAGCATCATGTAATGCTAAACTAATAGGAATAGAGCTTTAGGACTGGAAATATGTGGAACAGAAAAGGTGTCAAGGGTTCTCTTCAGAGATCCTTTTTTTTACAAATGTTCTTAGACATTGCAATCTTTATAGAGATAATGTTAAGTTTTTAGTGAGGAGAACAGATTTCTTTTTCATTTCCACAGAAGGGTTTATTGTAAATCTATTTTACTGCATAGGTGACACAGTATGACCTATACAACCTGAGTTTCTGCTGCAAGTATCGAGTGACAGTACAAGAAACAAGCCCAGGCGGAGGAATTTTTCATCAACATGAAGCCACTCTTATGTTCATGACTCCGGCTTGCAATGAACTGCAGGCCACTAGCCTTAGCCAGGACAGACCGGATTGCTCACAGTTTGGCAGCTGTCTGTGAAAGCCTCATTGTGACATGATTACAACACAACGTACTCGACGGGTGAAATGTCATTGAGATAACACATTTCTTATGTTGAGAAAATAAATTATTAATTTCTATTGTGGTCTTCTGGGTTATGACATCATGTAGTCTGGAAGGTGGGTAGTCTGTAGACTAGTGATTTCCACCCTAGGAGAGTCCAAGGGGGTTTGGAGGAGAGTGAATTCATGATAAAAAATAGTATTTTATTAGAGCTATTAGAGTCTAATATTTATCATCAATATTGATCGATAAATGAAGGGCAGGATACAAAAATTCTCATTTTAAAACTTTTAAAATGTACAGAGTTTTTCTGTGGTGCTAATTAAGAGTTAGTTGTTGGTTAACAGTAATATAAACGTGAATGCAAGGAGTTAACATTTCAATAAAAGGACCGTTGAGGGCATAAAGGTTTGGTAAAAGTAAAAAAGGGGGAATCATGTCAAAACATCTGGACCACTGCTGTGATGGAGACAGTATTTTCCCCTATAACATTTTTGGCCACCTACTAGACTACAAGGTGTTATAATCCAGAAGGCCAAAATATGAATCTACAGTCAAACAAACATATACGATACATGCACATGTAATTTCTGTTCTGTAAAATCAGAAGTATTATCATATGCTTCATCATTTTCATGCTTCATAAGTAATTCTAATTCACTAATCCTAAATTTGCTGAATAATTTATCACCCAAACAGAACCGAGATTGAAACTTTCAGCTAAGTAACTTACTCAGAACATCTAAAAACAAATGCATCACAACAAAAATTTTTACTATAAGCATTCAGTCACATAATTGTATTATTGTTTTTATTATATTTCAGTATTCGATCTGAAGTCTTTAATACCATAATTATGTATGTTCAGCAATGACAAAATACCTTATGATACATACAAACAATGAAACGGTTACAAACAAACACATATTATGAACATAAAATTAATGCTTACATTCATCACTAATTGTAGGAGAATGAGTAGTGGATGCTATGCATGATCTTGTTGGTTCATATTTTAATTACTAGTGCATAAATTTGCGGCTCTGTGATAAAAATATCATTTTAAGAAATGAACAGAATAAAGATGGTTTATTTGAATCAGATGAAATGGTTCACATGTAGTATCTATTCATGGTTGAAAGAGCATGGCAGCTTTTTGCAAGTGACCTTATAATGTTAAATACAAATGGATACAAGTGTTGTCCCCTTTCCTGAAGTATGAATTGCTTAGTTTTGAAGAGTGGGTTAGAAAATGTTGGTAGTCACAGGTCTCATTTGAAGTTTTTGGGAAGTTATTCTGTAAATCTATCCCTCTGCTTCATCAAGGTTCCATGCCATGGAGGTAAGGGATGGTATGTTGCAGATGTCAGACTTGCAAAAGTCAGGTGAATATAGAACCATCAACTGTGATCTGACAGACGCCCAGAAATCATCCAACCACACATTCATTGTTTCAACTTGGACTGCACACATTCAACTAGCAGAAGACTCAACAAAACAAGAGTCTATAAATATTACAATTTTATCTTCAATATTGTCCATGTAAACTGCTGAGCAGGCTATGAATTGAGCTTATGCATTCTGTGCAAGCTATCTACCGTTGTCATATGCGGTTTCAGTTCCAGAAGTTGCAACAATCTGTGTTGACGTTCTTGCCATGGTCCTCTGTGCAGGGAGTGTAAGGAAGTTGTGGGGTGAATATTTAAAGCTAGTGCCGATTTTATTCAGCTCCTCTTCGGTGAGAAGTCAGAACTTTAAATTTGGTCATTTTATCTTGTAACGACACTGTCTGGTTTAATTTACTTATGATTGTATTATTAATACTGTTCATGAAGGAAGTCGTCTTCTGGGTTTAGGCGCCGTGTATTCTTCGTTTTGGCCGACGTTTCGGAGGATCGTATCGCCTCCATCTTCAGAGCAGTTGAATGGCTTGGAATGCAGAGAGCAGTAGCTGTAGTGATAGGAAGTGAAAGGTGCTGCTCTCTGCATTCCAAGCCATTCAACTGCTCTGAAGATGGAGGCGATATGATCCTCCGAAACGTCGGCCAAAACGAAGAATACACGGCGCCTAAACCCAGAAGACGACTTTCTTCATAGTCATCGCAGTGAAAACCTCAAAATTTACATAATACTGTTCATATTTGGAACTGTAACATCCTGAAGTTTACACCAGAATCTTCTCCTTGCTTTTCTTATGCAACCACTTCTCACATAGGAATCGAACATGAACACTTGTTGTTCCAATGCGTATGTTACACGTGGTCTTTTGACATAAGAAGTAACAGATAACTGAATAATTAAAATGCAGTACCAGAGGCTCGCAATTACGGTTAGTTAACACAGTTTCATAAGTGCATTTCATGGTAGCTATTGCAACCATTATATGGCGATTTTTAATACAAACTGTCATATGCATGGGGTCATGCTGCTAGGTCAAATCTGTGTAGTCAAAGTTGAAGCACAGAGCAACTGTCTCCTTCGTCTGAGCTGCCAGGTGGTTATCATTAGGCTGTTCGGCAATTGCACTGTAGAATATCTTCCACAAAATTGAAAGGAAAGTGTTAATTGGTTCAGTGAAGTCAATATTTCAAGAAAGGAAGGAAGTAAAAAGCTGGTCACGGTAGCCGAGCAGGCTGAGGCACATAGTGTTTCACTCGCTCAGAATCCGGGATGGTGGGTTCGAATCCAACACAAGGCATGGATATTTGGTATGTGTATGTGTTTATTCTGTGTGTTGCCCTGTGTTTAAGTAGAGGCCTTGAGACGAGCTGATCACTCGTCCGAGGAGTCCTACCATCTGTGAAATGATCAAAATGAAACAAACCTCAACATCGTAAAGCATAAGAGAAACGGAATCAGTAAGTAGGTTAGGAAGTAAAAATAAAAACCTTAATTGCAACAAGAGAAAACAATAATCAATATGACAATAACTTTGGAAAACACAGCAACTATTATTATGTGAGTATATGAGTAATATCATTATCAGTAATCTGTCAGATGACAGGTCCACAGTCTCTTCCAAAACAATTCCTCCACTTAATGCGATCTAGAGCTTTCTCCTTCAAATGACAGTATCCTCTTCTGTCCCCAAGGTCATCCAGGATCTTCTTACGTCTTCTTCCTCGTCTTCTTGTCACTTCTATCTGCCCTCTATCTTTCCTTCAGTAACTTCTTTTAGAAGGCAGTTACAGCGTAAGATATGACCAATCCAATTAGCCTTCTGTTTTCTTATTTCATGTAGGATATTCCTCTGCTCACTGACTCTAATTAATACTTCTTCATTTCTCACATATTCGGTCCAACTGATCTTCTCCATCCTTCTCCAATGAGTAATATATGAAAAATAAAAGCATATAAATTTGCAATTAAAAATATATTATAAGAAAAGTCTTGTTAGGATATACTTATTTATTTGAAGTGAAAGTGAAACATTCTGTTGTTTTTTTTTTATGAGAAGCTTAATTTCAAGAAAAATTAAGTACCACAAGAAAATATGACTATTTATCTTAGAAGAATGATGCTAATTCTTACAAGAAGTTTTCTAATATGATCAACAAGCTATATCAGGTAACACAATATGCTGCTTAAGTTAATTTCATCAAGATTCCTACTCAGATGTAATCAAAACTAAAAAGCCTGTACACAGGGCTTGAGGTGGGACGGATGCGGCGGGATGGCATCCCGGTTCTATTTTCATTCCACCTCAAGCACTGCCTGTACAGAGAATACACAGATGCAGCTTAATTCCACAATTTCTAATGACAGATAAACTGGTTTCCATGCATGTATTCTAATATAATATTAGAATATGTTTCCATTCTCCAGAAAAAATATGCATGTATGTAATATCATGTAACTTCCACAGGTTAAAAAGATGATTTTGTGATAATATACCGTGTTACTCATACGTTAAACATATTTAAACAGAAAATAAAGACTGTGGTCCAGAATGACTGTATAAAGGAAAGAATACTGTCTTGAAATTATGTGCTTTTTAGCGAGATTTTAATTTTTTTTTAATTTGCTTATTGGGATGGCATGGCGGACACTGAGTGGCCTATTGTACCTGCCCCAGGTGATTATGATGGTGGAGAATTTGGTGGAATGAAGATTGGCAGGGGAAACTGAAGTACTCGGAGAAAACCCGCCCCAGCGCCACTTCGTCCACCACAAATCCTACTTGACCAAACCCGGGATCGAACCTGGGCCGCCGCTGTGTGAAGCCAGCGACTATCCGCTTGAGCTATGTCGCAGCCTTGAGTTTCATTTACTTAACGGTACTGATTTTAAGTTGTCCGTTGTAACATTACAGAAGATCTAAATACTAACTTATTCCATGGAGCAGAAACCTTTTTGCGAAGCTATTACTTTCTCAGCAAGTTAATGAATTCCTTGATTTTCATGGAACGTAAAGGTTATTACTGGTTTCACAAATAACCCAGCTCTGGACTCTGTCCTGAGCCTGATAGCTACACTGTTCCTGAATGAACAAATATAGAGCTGTCCAAGTGATGCAGACATGCCACGTGTGGTCTGCCAGTTGGTTTCGTGAAGTCTGCAAAATTATCTTTCCATCTCTCAAATTAAATGTTAATGCTTTCTTCACCTTTAAGAAAAGTGGAAACCTTGCTCTCCCTGCCACCAAAAAAAATCTTTATGAAAATATTTACTAGACCTTCTATGTAATTTTTCGATTTATTTATAGATGTATCGAATAACTAGGACTTAATAATTGTATGCAATATTGATGAAGTCTAATGAACCTACAGTACTGTGTTTCTACCATTCTCTCCGCAAAACTTAGTAATGTACTATGGCTATCATTGTTCATGTGAATATTGTTTTTTAATCATTACATGAATAATATCTACATAGGTATGCAACCCAATATATGAAAAATTACATCAACTCAACTCTGCCAGCTAACACAACACTCACATACATACAACTTGTGAAAGGTCCATGCAGCAAAATACCCACAGCTCTTATCTATCCACCAACAGACATCAAACAGAAGTAAAAACATCCGTCAATCTATTTTTCCCTCTATTTGGAACAGAACCCCTCAAAATTAATACAATAATATTACATATCTCACAACAACAGAAATGAAATGAGGATAAAGAAAAAAAAAAAACACCACCCTAAATATCTGAACGACAGGACAATCATTTTAATTTTGATTTCGGTTTTAATCTTAATTGTTAATTTAATTATATTGTTTTTATTGTGCAAAAGAATTGTAAATAAAAAAAAAAAGGCCTATGCAATGCCCATTTGGCCCTAGTCTTATAATTATAGAGAAAAATGTTGTAAATACAAAAAAGGCCTAGGCAATGTCCATCCGATAAGTGAATACGTGATATCTTTAGAGAATAATAAAAATTATTTGTCTATGCGTCATGTAAGTAGTTCGTAAGTTCTACCGTTAGATATCTTAATTCACATACGATGATTTGATTCCGATCTATTGGTATTAATCCGTGGTATACACTACCGACTAAACTGGGATATACATCCATGTTATGCAGTCATCCTAGTTAGGACCATCTGGACGATCTGGACTACATCTCATCTGTTCTGTCAATTGTGATTGGTTGTTTTCAATCAGTGGCTTTCGACCAGCCCCCAAGAATCTCCCATGTTATTGGTGGGCAACATGGCCGCCATGACACGACGATGCACAATCCTGCTGCCATCTCTACGCATCCTACATCAATTAAATGTAAAATGGCCGATAGGCCCGAGAGCACAATCGGTAAGAAGGTATGCTAACATAGCAACTATTTTGAGTGCTCCCCCGCCCATTGCTTTGTTCGCTAGAATAGCAATAAATACATTTACAACTAGATCTTTGTGCTGCAGAGGTTTCCCCCCTCAACCTATTTCTATTTTTAACTGTGTTAAATATCACTAGTCAAGGAGGATGAGGTTGGCAGGGCATGTAGCACGAATGGGGGAGGCGAGGAATGCATATAGGATATTGATGGGAAAGCCAGAAGGAAATAGACTACTGGAAAGACCAAAGTGTAGGTGGGTGGACAATATTAAAATGTATCCTAGAGAGATAGGATGGTATGGATTGGATTGATCTGGCTCAGGA